ATGTCAAAGTGCTAGAGAGTGACCTCATGTACATTGGGAGTTCTTTGGAGAGTGAAGAATATTGATATGCTTTAGCCGAGAGTGGCATCAATTTTATCAGAGGATTAGTACCTGAGCCTACTAATTACTCCCTGTGTACTTCGGTGCTGCTACAGCAGGTGTACACTGGCCTGAGTCTGGGAAGCATAGTGAAAGATGCTAGAAGTCAGTACAAGACAAGAGTGCTAGGTGTACTCACTGCTTTGATGTCAGCTCCATACGGGTTGGAGTCATTTGGGAAGAGGGAACATCAATTGAAAAAATGTCCCTACCAGACTGACCTATGGGCAAGTCCATTTTCTTGAGTTTCATGATTGATATTAGAGGGTTCAGCTCACTATGAGTGGCAGGTGGTCCTGGGTGCTGTAAAATACAAGCTATACAAGCCATGAGAGCAAGCTAGCAAGACTCCAATGGTCTCTGCACAGATCCCACCCCCAGGTTCCTGCCCTGACTCCTCCCAGTGATGGGGTGTGAAGTGTTCTTCCTTCCTCCTAAAATTGCTTTTGGTCATGGTGTTTTATTAACAGCAATAGAAACCCTAACAAGAGCCAGGGCTACACAGAGAAACCCTGTCTCAAAACAAACAAACAAACAAACAAACAAACAAATGAAACCCTAACAAGACACAAAGTTAAAAGAAAAAAATGTTACTAATTAACAAACTTACTAATTATTAGGTAGACATGACCATTATAAAGAGAAATGTAGTCTCAAATGCTAAGTGAAAGTTCTAGGCGACAAATGGTGATACCATTGGGAAAGCAGGAAAGCCAGGAGCAGCTTGTGTAGGGACACTGGGTTGGTTACAAGTAAAGTTCAAGACAAAGGGCTGGAGTGGAGGCACAAGCTTAGAGCTATGTAGTGCAGGACGGACAGACAGATTAGAATTACTTCTCAGATTCTATTACCTGAGATCTATTTCATTCTGGGGACACACTGGTAAAATTTAAGCTGCAGCAGTTTATGTAACTTCTGTTTTACTACAAAGTTGAATAACAAAACAGAACTCTAATATTCCTAATTTTCAGAGAAAATAGTTCTTGTTTTAATTTTTATAATTTCTTTTCCTTTAGAAACACACATCAGACAATAGCATTTTAAAGGGTATTTTCTACATCTTTTGGATATTAACATTTTTTTACTGTTAAAAAAAAACCCTAAGAATAGTTTCCTGTTTGTGTATAAAATAATAAGTAAAGAGCCTATGACTACAAGGGAGTTTCCCATCAGGAGATTCTCATTTTCCTGGTTTCTGGTCCCTAGGAATGATAGCACAGCTCGCAGAGAAGTACAGTCTTCCCCTACGGACCAGCTTCAGCTCTGCACGGGGGTTCTTCATCCAGATGACCACAGACTGCACTGCTCTCTCCAGTGACCAGCTGCCTTCAGAGTTTATTAAGGTTAACTTGGAGTAGCAAAGAAATGGCTGCTCCTGGCTTTGTGGAAGGATGGGTAGACTTTCCAGGCTTCGTTTGGTGCATGGCTTTGCTTCTGTACCCCACTGAGCAGCCGCACCACACTGACAGGCTCAAGGGGGACAACCAAAGGAGGCAAAAGGCAAATGAGGAAACAAAGTCCAAAAGATGTTATTGACAAATGAATTTAGGAAAACACTGCAGTACCTTTTGTTTAAAAATTTAAAATATCATTGTTTTATATGTGACACTTGGAGGTCAGAGGACATCTTGTGGGTGTCACTTCTCTCCTTCTACCATCTATGTCCCAGGGATTGACTTCAGGTGCTGTGAGTGCTTTTACCTGCTGAAGCACCTCACTTAACTCTTATTTACACAGTTTTCCAGATTCATTTCCTATTAAAGGTTTGAGAATGTCAGCAGTAAGGAAATGTTTGTTTTCTGTAGTGTTTTTAAGCCTGTGACTGTGTAGTACTTATTTCTGTGTACACATTTACTCTCCTGTACATACAAACAGTGCACACAAACACTGTCTTACTATATATAGGTTTACTCGAAAAAGTCACAGAGCTAGACCCCAAGTAAGGTTCAGATAGGGGACCAGGGCTGAGGAGAGTCAGAGTCACAGTAGGGGTCACGGTGGTCCCCATTGTCCATCGTGGCTGTTACCTGCTAATGTGATGCAGTCTTCTAACCTTTCTGCAAGGCCATTTCAGAACTTACCAGTCAGTCGTGTGGAGAGATTGGGTTAGAAATAGCTTGCTTTATCTTTTACATAATCTTGCTTTTATTTTTTATAGACAGTATCTATAACTTTCCTTGTAGTACTTTATCTTAGAAAGTAAAATGGTTAACCTGAACACGACGTATCTTTCTGTCCTATGAACTGTATGTTTTATCTCATGTGCATGTACACATAGCTTTGACATTGCTTTTACCTTCCTACAGATTTCTAAAGTGAAAAACTCATATAGCTTTACATCAGCAGATTTAATTAAAATGAATGAAAGATGCCAAGAGTCTTTGCGAGAAATCTACCACATGACCTACATGTAAGAGCATTTGAAGCATTTGAGTCTAGAATTACATGGAATTATAATAGATGTAATTAATTGACTCCTTGTCTGATTGCAGGCAGTTGACTTGTGTTAGAAAAGAAAGTCCGCCATTGTGTTGAGAACAAGTGACCCTTATGGAAGGCATGAGTGGAGGTGTAATAGGAAGAGCTAGCTGGATTCCCAGGACTTCTGCATGATGCACTGCGCCATTGTGCAAAGCTTGTGTGCCGTGAGCTGGCTCAGGCTTAGTTCAGCTTACTCTTTCCTTGTGGTCTGTGAGCACTGGCTTCTCACACTCTGTTATTTCTAGGGTAGCATCGTAATAGTGCCAGCTCTTTTCTTGTCCATGGAACAGTAGCTTTGAATTTAGGAGAAGCAACATATTTAGATTTGGTAGACTGAGATAGAGTGGAAGATTTGGGCTTTCAAAACAGTTTCAAGTCCTGGGCCCTCAGATACTATTAATGTACATTCTGGGTACATACTTGAAAGGGGAGTAATTCCTGGAGTGTACTATGTTTCACCCTACTCATGAAAATTTAAATAATGACAGGATTTGAACATGGTATGCGTCTGTGTATATGTTTGTATTTGTGTGTATGTCTCTTTGTATGTCTGGGTTTCTCTCTCTTCCCCCTTCCCTTTCCCTCTATTTTCTTTGTGTGTGTGTGTGTGGTTTTTTGTGTATCTCTGTGTATATGTCTATACATGTGTCTATGTTTTTGTGTGTGAGACAGATTATTAGCAGATATATGTATAATGAGCACTTGATTATATCCATATAAAATATTTTATATTTTCTAAAGCAAATTATTTGAAAATGTCTGTTTTGTTTATATTTAATGAGGCTATCATTTCACAAATGAATATAGAAGGTGATGGATTATTTTTTACCTGGTAGATGTGACAGTGCACTGAGGCATCAATATTTTATCTAAAATGAGCCAACCAAACAGTAGACTTTCTTATAGTGCACAACTGTGAATATTATTGCTCTCAAGCAACTAAAATCTGCATATCTCCTTTTGAGAACCATCAATCCTGTCTTGTCCGACGTGTGTTTTAGGATAGTGTGCAAGCTGCTCGGCGAGATCTACGAGCACATCCATTGCTTGTACAAGCTGTCTGACACGGTGTCAATGCTGGATATGCTGCTGTCGTTTGCCCATGCCTGTACTCTTTCTGACTACGGTGAGTCACTGCCTTTGACAAGAAAAACATGTGACATACTGAAATGTGTATCCTACTCAATTTTATATAAGTTGTGAATATTTTACTCTTTTTACTTGAAATAATTTCTTGTCTGTGACCCAAACTAAGACACACAATGGAGACAGTGAAATTACCATTTAAAAGAATTTAGGGGTAGATGGCTCTGTGACTGGGAATGTATACTGTTCTTCTAGAGCACCCGTTAGATTCCCAGCACCCACCACTGCTTAGAACTCTTCCCCATGGACAGACATGGCTGCCTACGGTGCTGCATTCAGATACACGTTCCCAAACACAAGCACACAAACACATAATTACGATAAAAATTAATCTCCAAAGAATTTGAAGTTAAATGCAAATAATATTCATTTAAAAATTGGCAAGTAAAAAAGAACAAAGCTGCAGTGATTTTTAAAGATTTCCCAAGTAAGAAAGACTGCTGAGCTGTGTCCTTGGTGAAGTGGCCATGATCCAAAAGTTGTAACCTGAATACTCAGTAGTAGTGGTACACTGACTGCTAACAGAAGCAAGTCTGCATGGTGCACATTCTCTCAGCTCTGGAACACGTGTGCACAAAGATCAGGAACTGTGCCACATTTCATACCCCAAATCTGTATGTAAGCCTTTCTGCAAATGTGCAACCACTCTCCAATGTCAGATCACCACTTCAGTAGAGTTAGTCTCTGAAACTTCTTACACAACTCATCAGTAACTATCACACTCCAGCATGTAAACACCTAGGCCTAGTGTGTGATAATTATGGTTGAATAACTGCAGGTATGATGTTAACATTAACATTTTTGATTAAATTTAGCAACAAGATTTCTGATTTGTTATATTGATTGATTTTTAAATATTATTTTTGTTTTATGTATATGCATGAATGCATAAATGTATGTATGTGCACCCCATGTGTGCAGTGCACTTGGAGGCTAGAATAGAGGATCAGGTCACCTGCACCTGAAGTCATAGATGGTTGTGAGTTGTCATATGGGTTCTGGGAACTGAACCCAGGTCTCCTGCAAAAGTAACAAGTGGACTTAACCAGTGAACCATCTCTCCAGCACCATTACATTGACTTGTTTTTGTAGGAAGTATCTTATAATTTTTTTTATATTTCTAAATTTCTAAACTTAAATCTTAATAATGCCAGATGATAATAGCAAATAATAAATAATAATCAATACTAACTTTTTATCACTGCTATCATAGGCTGAAATATTTACTCTGATTTTTTTACATTATTTTATAATCAATTCCGTCAATATCTTTATTTAATATTAAATTGTATCGATATCTTTAATAATTCCATCAATATCTTTAATCATAAATCCCGTCAATATCTTTATCTAATAATCAATTCCATCAATATCTTTATTTAATAATCAATTCCTCGCGATGGTGGCGACGGTGGACGATCCATGTAGCAAGAAGCCACGGGGCCAGTGCTGGACGGTGAGCGCTGTGCACACGGCACGCACATGTACACGCACTCCGGGCCAGCCTTGGCTACACGCGCCCGCGTCTACGGAGGGCGGAGCTCCTCACGCAGGAAGCGCACAGTGTCGGTCATCCCCCTGTGGTAGATCGCCTCCAGCGTCTGTCTGCACGCCGGGAACATCGCCTGCCGCGCGCGCACCAGGTTAGCCCAGGACACCGCGACGTCTTGCCCGGCCACGCTCACACACGCCCACGCGTGTTCCCGCGGCGACACGTCGGCGCTTCCAGCGAAGGGCGAGAAGGTGACGGTGCGTCCCGTGGACATCACGGGGAGGCTGTCGGTCAGGCCACCGTCCATCCAGAGCTGGCCCGCGTGCTCCACGGGCTTGAGTCCCGCGTACACGGGAACGAAGCAGCTGGCCAGGAGAACCGTGATGAGCTCGTCCCTGGAGGCGAAGTCGCTCACGCGGCGGCCCTGCAGGCCGGCGACGCGGGTGACGCTCACGAGTAGCCGTCCGCGCGCGAGCTCATGCGCGTCCCGGGGAAGGACGGCGTCCAGGGCGGCCCTCACCCGCGACATCAGATCGAACCCGGGCGTCGCCGGCCCCAGCACGCGCGCGCGGGCCTCCTCGGCGAGGTCGTACGTGAACTTAGTGCACGCCTCGATCTGCCCCGGCGCCGTCAGCAGCACGGCGGCCGTCAGCGCCCCGGCCGAGGCGCCGGCGAGTCCCGTGACGTCACGCAGCAGGCCCCGCCCCCGCAGCGCGGTCGCCGCCCCCAGGTGGTACACGCCCAGGAAGCCGCAGGCGGAGAAGGAGAGGTGCAGGGGCGGCATGGCGGCCGCGGGGAAGTGTCACGTGTGTGACGTCACGTGAGCGCTGTGATGGACAGGTGATGTCACGCGCACGCCGGGAACCCGCGGGAGCCCCGGGCCGCCGCGTCCTGCGCGTCCTGATGACGTCAGGACCCGCGCCTGCCTCTCGCTTCCCCGTGGGCGGTGCAGCTGCTCCGTAACCAGCACCGTCCTCTTTGATATTTTCTTTGGGATCAGAACTTTACCTTGGGATCTCAAGTTTAACAGACTGTTTCGCACTTGAGTTAGGGAGTGAGGATGGCCATTATCTTCAGATCTGCCTGCCCCTCACACAAGCACCACCATGTCTGCCAGGGGGCCAGCCCTGGCTTGGTAGGAGAGAGAAGAGATCTTCTTTCTTTTCCTTGTCGGTTCTTCTTGAGGCAGCCACGGGGGTTGGGGATGGAGGAGCGTCGATGGGGGTGGGCGGTAAGACTTTGGTAGTGTTGCTATATAACAAGAGTTTACTTATCTATGCTAGAAAAGCTCACTTACTATGCTGGCCTGCCCTCTGGTATCCTCTGGCCAGAAACTGCACTTAACTGGCACAACAAAGGATTAAGCAAATAGTCTTTGTACTCTCAAAGCAGGACCTGCTGGGCCCTATCTTAAGTCTGCTAGTCTGAGGTCGAAGGAAGAAAAGACACTTAGAGATGTGGTTAATGCATTTATTACTAAGATGTTAACAGTTTCCTATGAAAGCTATCTAAGGGAAAAGCGGAAAGATCCAAAGTGGGGAAAAAGGAAAACTAACTGGGAAAAGGGAAAAACTCTATTCTATCTCTATTCTATCTTGTATTTTTTAACTCTCTATTCTAACTCTCCTCTATACCTAACTAACTCTCTTCTCTTTGTCCTCAGTACTTATGCATCTTTCAGAGTACATGGTCACATGTTCCAAGTTCATCACAAGTTCACACCAAAATTCAAATCATAAATTGAAATAGAAGTTTACAACACAGAATGTTTACATGTATATCCATTAGGAGCAATTATCTAGCTAAACATCCATCACCTGTCTAGTGCCACAGGCTCACTGAAGGTTTAAAACTATAAGAAATTAATGGAATTTTGTATAGATAAAACCAGGCAATATTTTCTCTTCTGTCCTAGTACCTATAATAAATTGTGAGTTCCCATTTAGTGACCTTTGGTTAATTGTTTTATAACCTCATTGGAATGTACTCTGAGCAGGGGAAAGTCTGGTTACTATTTAAGGGCAATTAACTGATGACACTCAGAGACCGGCAGAGTTCTCATTGCAGTTTTGACAATCAGAGAGGGACCTAATAGCAGTCCCGTTATAATAGAGCTTAATAATCATTGACATAATTTTAGGAATTCTTATAGGGTCATCATTAAGACTTAAGAAGTCATCTATATGTCTATATAGCATCACCACAAGATAGTACGTCTTTGTGGATCTGCAGAGATATGCTCCAAAGGGGTGTGCTATTGCTGAGTGATTGTTATGTATGTTTAATAATAATAATAATAGGAAAAGCATATTAATAGCAGGAATCTTTCCTAAAATAAGTTCCTCACAGCCTTGCTGAATAAGAACTCACTTATCGCGGATTATATGATAATCCAAGGCAAGCATTTCAGGATGATCACCTGCTAATTATTAGGTTGTCCCATTATGGCTCCTGACACATGCCAGTGTATGCTGTACTGGCAAGGACCTCAGCACGCTGTCATAATCAGCAAGCACTCTACCAACTGAGCTATGTCCCCAGCCCAGGGTTTGCTAGTCTAATAGTTGTTTTGTTAATTATTGAGTAACTTACTCTACTTAATTTGTGAAATATATCTAAATTCTCAAACTGCAATAGTTTTAAAAATACCTCTGGTCTTTCTGTACCTTAATCTGTAATGAATGTGTTGAAGTTTATCCATGCAGTCCATTTCTCAGTGTGCAATAGTTTAGTTTTCCCCTTTAGATGCTACTCAGAGAGATCTCTCTGAACTAACTGAACCTTTGTACTTGGTTTCTCCATTTCCAAAGTAGATTTTTAGACATATTTTCCAGGGTATAGGACAGATTGTTATGTTTATGTGTGGCTGCACTGTTTAGTTACACTCTGCTTTGCACACTGAGTGGCTAGATGTGAAGCAGTGTTTAGGTCTCCCGGGTAAACTTCTGTCTAGAGGAGTCACTGGTTATTTGGAAAGTATTACCAATTGTCATATGGTTCTTTTTAATCTTTACAGTTGTTTCATAAGTTGTTTTGGAACCCAGGGCAGTGAAAAGGAACTACATTCACCAGAAATAATTAAAAATAATGAGTTATACCCATTACAGTTAAGGGAGATTTAGGAGTAAGTGTGGGATAAAGGAGTAACTTATTGTACTGAATTGGGCTCATAAAATTACTAAGGTCATTCCGTATGTTCACACCACAATATATTTAGATACATATTCAGCTTTAACCTCCTCCCTCCCTTTTTTTTTTCAGTTCGACCAGAGTTTACTGACACTTTAGCAATCAAACAAGGATGGCATCCCATTCTTGAAAAAATATCTGCAGAGAAACCTGTTGCAAACAATACTTACATTACAGAAGGAAGTAATGTTCTGATCATTACTGGACCAAATATGAGTGGAAAGTCCACGTATTTAAAGCAGATTGCACTTTGTCAGATCATGGCCCAGATTGGTAAGTTATTAGTACATTACTATATGACTGCCAGTTGTGGAGGTTTGAGCAAGCACAGCCTCCGTAGACTCATGTGGAGGGCATGAGCCTAGCCTTTAACTGTGTGCGGGCTCTCTGGCCCTAGGCTCAGATAAGTGAATGTGTGGACTCCAGCTGGTGGAGCTGTTTATGAAGGGTTAGGAGCTGTGACTGTTGGGGGAGGTGTATCATTGGGCTCTGAGGTTTGAAAGGCCAAGCCTTTCCCAGTTAGTTCCTATCTGATGATAGGACCTAAGGTCTTAGCTTCTATTCCAGTGCCATGCCTGCCTGCTGCCCTGCCCCTACCATGATGGTCATGGACTCACCCTAGGGAACTGTAAGCCTCCATAGACACTTTCTTCTAGAAGTTGCCTTGGTCATGGTGCTTTCATAGCAATAGAAAAATACCCAAGACACCAAATCATGAGTAGGATAAACTATCTTTAGTGACCACGTGACATTTTCTATACATTACAATATTGGGCATAGAAACGTTCTCCTTATGTACATAAGTATGTATAGTGTGTGTTTGTCTGTATGCATGAACATGTGTGTAAATGCCTGTCAGTGCTCCAGAACTCTTACATATGTCTTCATGTTCAGGTCTCACATAAGTCTTGTAGCTGGTTTTCCTGAGAACTGACTGCCAGCTATCAGAAGCCAGTCATGGCAGCATACACCCGTATCCCAGCATGAAGGAGGTGAAGAAACAGAGGATCAGAAGGCCAAGTTCAGCCTCTGCCACATATGTAGCTTGAAGCCCACTTGGGCTATAAGAGATCCTGTCTTAAAGAAGAGAGAGAGAAAGAGGGCAGGGGAGAGAAGTGACAGGATTAGAGAGGGGGGATTCACTGCAGTAAATTGAAACATGACTTTGCATGATTTTATTTAGTAGCCCTGATCTGGTTCTTGTATCACAGAATGATCTACTCTTCCTAGTGCTAGTTGTTTAACTGTCTAAAGCAGTTATTTTACTTTTTATCATTGTTCATCTTAAATTCTGAAGTGTGTGTGTGTGTGTGTGTGTGTGTGTGTGTGTTTCAGCAGGCCCAAGTGAAAAGTAAACTGAAGCTTGAAGGCATATGGGTAGCCTGGAGACCACGCACTCTCAGACAAGTTATATCGCTCTTAAGTTGCTGTTCAGGCTCTGCCTCCAAACCGGTAGCAGCATGATCGCCTGTGATCACAGCTGGTGGATCCTGAGAGGAGAAGCCAGCAGACAGGGCTACTCGAAGCTAAGAGAGCACAGGCAGTGGTGGAATTCCAGGGGAGAGGAAGTTTAGCCTGGCTACCAGACTACACGACCTCCTCCAGTGGTCTTTATTCCTTAGCCAGGCCCTCCCTGTCCTCCATCTTTCTTTTGCCCTAGATGTAAGGCAACTTCACTTGCCTTTTCCCTCCCATTATATCACTTTTATCTACACAGGGCTCTGTAAGATATGTTTCCCATTCTACATTGCTTATTTTGTCTTATGATGTTAGGATGACTTTCATGTCACATAACATAGACAAAGGGTTAACAGATCTGCTATCAAATGGGGAATATTTTAGATAGCTTAATAGTGTAAGAATAGACTCATGGAATAGAACTCATCTTTCTTTTGATTACATGTTTTTATTGTCCTGCTTTGGACACATTTCTGCGTGTTTGTACTATTTGTATTTTACAGTGATTTTTCATCAACTTGACCCTCACACATTTCCTTCAGATTTCATTTGTGAGATTCATAAGCATGTCTTTGTTTCTCTTTTGAGTGTTATCTATCAGCTATCTATATAACCTAACCCTTTATGAAGGTTAAAATGATCTCTTTCTTTCTGATGGGGTTGAACATCGCATCAAATACTACATTTGGGTTTCTTCATAACTTTGTATGGCAGGTGCCAGAGGCCCTTGTTTCCCTGTGAGAAAGAGGAGTTTAAGTGGTAGCTTATGCAGCGAGCAGAGAGCCAGGGCCATGCCCTGTGACTCCACCTACAGCAGTCTGTGTGAGAAGTGCAGTGTTGTTTGGTACCTTGTTTTCTAAAACACTGGAAGTGCTGCTTATATTTCACAGGCTCCTATGTCCCAGCAGAGTATGCCTCCTTTAGGATTGCTGCACAGATCTTTACGAGAATCAGTACAGATGATGATATTGAAACAAACTCATCAACATTTATGAAAGAAATGAAAGAGGTAACTAAACAATACTTCACTTTTATTAGAAGCATATTAAGTATCCTGGCATCCAGAGTTGCTGGTGTGCTTTAGTTTCTGAGAGCCAGAGGGCAGTCAGACACAGTTTGTTAGTGTGTCCTAGGTGAAATGGAAGCTGGTGCCTCAGCAAAAAAAACAGCTCTAGGCTGCTAACGTGGGCTTTCTTTCCTGTTTCTATAGAGGAGATCTGGCAGGCTTTTCAGAGGAATCAATTGTCCTTTAGCTTTCAAAGTCATTGTCTCTGCCCTATAAATGGGAGAATGAGAATGCTTCTTCCCCATGAAAGTGTGCACTCTTCATTCTCTGATCTGAGCAAACGCTGTCTGTGTCTAAGCAGAGCACTTAGAACAACTGTGTTTGGAAGGATGCATGCCTCACTGAGCACTTAGGTTTCTTTTCTGATGTGTCATACAAAGTGAGGTTAAAGAAAGAAACCTATACATTTGCTTAGCATGTATAGAATGCCTGTGGGGAGTCTATCAATAGTCTAGATACATGAAGGTATGTCTTTTATTTTATCTATTTATTTTTGAGAACGGATATCACTATATATATATAGCCCTCCCAGGCTGGCCACACATTCACAGAGATCCACCTGCCTCTCCCTGTCTAAGTGCTGGCATTACAGCTGTGTGGCTCTATCTCTCAGGAAGTATTTCTTTTAAATAGATCCCTTGTTGCATAAAAAGTTAATTCGTTATAATACAATTGAGTGGAATTCTGTATTTTGAGAAAGAGGTGGAGATTCTCTAGAAGGAAAGGATTTCTACCGGTTTAAGTCTTCTTGTTTGTTGGCCATGGATTTAAATTTGTTAAACAGATATATTTTTCTTAATACCTTGTTCTGTCTTTAGCAAATGTAAGTAAGTTTTGAAGAAAATATATTTTAAATTCGTTTTCAACATTGTATGATGGTGATTGGTAATTTGTGGAGAAGAGAACGGCCATCTTTGTGTCTTATTTAAGCATCTGTTTACTGACGTGCTTCTTCATGTTGTAGATAATGCTGTCTTGTTGTCTCATACATATGTAGATGTCTGTTTTTATATATGAACTATTCAAATGGAATTATTAGTTACGAGATTGTCTGAAAGAGAAGCAGTGTGCTATATTCTACTCAGCAGGATTTCTCTATTAAAATAAATTTCAGACATATTTACAAAGTAACCAATTTCACTAGTTTTCTAAGAGAACAGCATTGTTTGGGTATAATGAATAGTATTAAAATGATGTCTTCTAGATATCATATATTCTTCATAATGCTAATGACAAGTCACTCATATTAATTGATGAGCTTGGCAGAGGCACTAATACAGAAGAAGGGATTGGAATTTCTTATGCTGTCTGTGAGCATCTGCTGAGCATAAAGGTATGCCCCTGTTCATTCTAATTGGTGTGCTTCATGTATGTAACATGATTGGATTGTATCAGTACCCACAAATAGATCTTTAAACAATTTTGGGTAAAAAAGACACACTACAGGAATTTTTGTTTCATTTCTGGTGAAAGTAAGAATTCCTGTTGTGCATACAAGATATAGATGAGTAACATTGATACCTACAGATGATAAAAAATTCAGTTGGCTTTAATTTAATCAAATTGAATAACAAAATATGAAGATGTTATATATTACATATTACAAAATCTGACAATCTGAAGATAGCACGTTTCCACATGTAATAATCTCTGAGTCTGAGCCATCATGGAAGAAAATACCCAAAGGAAACAGCATCCTTTAAAGAAAACAGGTTCTCACAAATCTTGTAAAAATTACTTTTACTCTGTTATTAAGCTAATTTGGAAAATTATTTCATAGATGACTATTTAAAATATACTCAGATATGAGAAATAAAAAGCATATTTTCATAATTAAAATATCTTAAAGTATCTTTAAAGAGTTTTTTAACTTTAAACAAGAGCCCACAACAATTCATTATAGAGAATGAAAAACTATTTTATATATTAATGCAAGTATGCAGCAACTCAAAAGTAGTGTCAGCACACATGTTTTATGTCACTCCAAATGTCATCCAGAATTCCCACATGAATAAGATGCATATGTCACTTAAGACTAAAAAAGCAAGTTTGCATTTGTAATGGATGTTTTTTCATGTCAGTCTGACCAGCTACAAGCACTTTTACATTTGGTTAAACGTTATTTGGATCGTGTCTGTGGAGCATTTCTAGAAATGGACATGTCAATGTAGCCTGAGCAGAGAGCCTCCATTGGTGGGCCCAGGCCCTGCCCAGCTGAAAGCTCAAAGATCCTAAAGGGCGACTGTCCCGGGAAAGAGTCGGCAGAGCGCCTGTCTGGCTGCCAGCAGTCTACACGATGGTTTTGCTGTCTTCAGACTCTGGCATGTCCACTCCAGATGGAAGCCTGGTGGTGTTCAGCTAGAATTACCTCATAGGTCTCCTGAAAATGTAGCTTACCAAAAATTCCATTGCTTAGCTTCTGTGATCATGAACCAAATCATTATGAGTACAGATGCATAAACATACCACACACACACACACACACACACACACACACACGCATGCGCACTCAGTCTGATTCTTTTGAGACCTCTGACTGATACAATATCCATTTCCTGATTGAATATTTTTGTGATCTTCTGCAATACCTAAAAATAGTTATCTTCAACAATACTTTAAAATACTCCCTTTCTAGTAGAAGAGTAGAAGCTTGTATTGCTTCTTAGTTTTAAGATGCTTACAGTTAATTTTCTACCCTAGAATCAATCCTTGGAGTCTAGTACAATATTTGTACTCTATAGGCCCTGAAGATATCATTTAAAAAAAATCTTTTTATTGATTCTTTGTGAATTTCTACCATGCATCCCAGTCCCACTTGTCTCTCCCTCCCTTCATACCCACCCTCTACCCTTGCAACCCCTCACCCACTGGAGGGAGAGAAAATCTCATTGTGGAAGCTGTAGTGTGTCACAGTGTGCCCTACGGCTTGCCCTTTTGTCCACACTTCTTTACTTGCAAATGTTCATTGCGATGAGGCATTGGTCTGGTTAGAGGCCTCTCTGGCTTTTGTTACACTCAATACTGGAACCTCACTGGGACTCCTCTTGGACGTCCTGTTGTTGCTCTGTGTCATGGAGAACCTACAGCTTTGGATCTGCAGGACCAGCCCCTTCACACATTTCAGCAGTTCATAGATGAGGTAGATGTTGGGGCAGACCAACTTAAAGCTCTGGGTCTAGCCTGGGTGGTACCTGAGTTGTAAGCCAGTGGGTAAGTTCTCCCATGTCCACACCACCAGGGCAAGCTCTCCTGCTCTACCCTGGCCGGCCCATCCAATGCCAAAGGCAGCAAGGGGGCAGAGCCAGTTCGTCCCCTCAGGGATGACTCATCAGTGCTCATTCCACCAGGGCCAGCTCTACTGTGCTGCCCAGGGTGGGTGCATGGCGTGCTCTCCTGAGTGCTACAGTGGGTGAGGGGCAGGGACAGCTCTTCTGCTCTCATGACCCCAGGGCCAGGTCTCCCACCTGTCACAGGTGGTGAGTTGCAAAGGGGAAGGAGAGTATCTCTCCTTCCTCCATGTCATTGCAAGGGAGATGAGTGGCAGGGCAGGCTCTCCCACGTTCATACACTTGGGTCTGGCTCACTCTGCGAAACTCCTGCAACCAGGGCCAGTTCTTCTGTGCTTCCTGGGTGATGTCTGTGCCCACTCTCCCAAGTACTGCAGCTATCTAGGGTTGGGTTCAGCCCTCTGCTCTCATGCCACCAGGGCCAACTTTCCCAGAATGCTCAGGTGAGGGGTGGGACCAGTGCATAGCCCTCAAACATCAACATGTCCCCAGGAAGCAGCTTAGACCTGTTTACTTGCCCTTTGGTGGTAACAGACCCTTGCTGCTGCAGGGCCGTGGACCCAGATGTGACCCTCTGGTGGCTCACAGGCCAGGACTGTGACCTTAGGTAGTATCACCAGCTACTCACACCAGGCTGCTCCTGACTACTCTTGAGTCTACAGTTCTGTCTCTTTTCACTGTGCCCATTTCCTTCTGCTGCTTCTTTTTCATTTCTCCACTACTCACTTGCTCCTCTTTGTGGTGCCCGGGGCTGCCTAGGGTCTAAGGTCGTCTCTGGTGTGGTCTCAGGAGTGTTAGGCCCCACCTATGCATTATGACACCAGGAAAGGGTCATCTTGGCTATAAACTGGCCCCTCGAGCAGGCACAGCACTAGATTGGTGGTTATCTCAGGCTAGGCCCCTGTCCAGGTCACATGGCATCAGACAAGTGGTCATCTCAGGCTTACTCCTCCCCGGGCCACCTGCATGGCCCCATGCAGAGGTCATCTGTCCCTGACTCACTCCCTCATGGGGTCTGTGGCACCAGACTCAGGCTCACTTTTTTCTGTGAATGTTAAGCTACTACTAATCATTTAGATGTTCATAGGTCAGAACACCGAGCATAGACATAGCCTCTCTCCTCTCTACCACCTACTAACATCATGTGACATGGCAGTCACACCTGCAATGTCTCTAGGGGCAGTTGAACAGTTGTTTTTAAGCTGAATTAACCTAATAGAGTTTATAAAGGTCCCGTTTACATTTGTGCATGCTGGAAAGGACCTAAGTTAGGGCCTGGCACATGGGAAGCCAGTGCTCTTATCACAGAGCTACGACCCTTGATGCATGGTTTCTAGGACATTATTATCAGTCATTAGCTGCTAAGCAGTTTAGAGGCCAATTAGTTGCTAATCTTACTGTTTTATATCAGTAACTCCCATGAGTTTCACTCCAAAAGACCAAAGTAACTCCTTCCACAAGCTGTGTCCAGTGATCTCCCACTAAACCACTCCTCTTAAAGGTCCCTCTATTAGGGTCTGAAAGTCTAATAAAACTCAAGAAATGATAAGAGTCCTGCAAAGCAAGATCTTAATTTGAATTAGGCAGCAAAAACTGTTGTCAGGGACAACAGCACTGACTGGGAGCTGTCTGTGTCTTCAAACATTCATCTTAGTGAGTACTTAAGCAGATGCAAAAATGCATTCAGCTGCTATTGATCGATCAGGGCTGCAGAACAGACTCAGGAGCTGAACTGAGACCCCAAGCCAGAATGCTGCAGACATATGTGCCAAATTATTCCACCAATCAGGATTTAGGGATGGGGCCTTCCTTAGGAACATGTCTTTGTGGTTCAGTTATCCTGTTCCCATTGGTAGGATTATTCAACTATGACAGTCACAGCATTCATGTCTCAACTCACCAACCAGGATGTCAGTTACCTAGGGAGGTCTGGGGAACTTAAACTTTATTTGACCCCTATTCAAAATGGAAATTTTATTCAAAATGTCTTTGGTTTTGTTCCTTTTCCCTGGGTTGCCATACTGAGGCTCAGGCGTCACCAGTTAACCTATGAAGGACACATCCCAAATGTGTCCAAACTACCTACTGTTCATGGACTTAGGGGAATTTCTATGTGTAATCATGTCAAATATCTCTGATTTTTTTTTTTTTTTTTGCTGTTATCTTTGGTTGAGACATTTGCCAGCTAAATATTTAATCTTCTTTCCTTTGAGACAGAATCTTGCTATATACTCTAACTAGATGGCCTATATTCTCTGTGTATTCCAAACTGGTCCCAAACTCAGCAGTTTTCTTGGTTTAGCCTCTCAAGTGCTCAGGGAATTTCTCCTTGGATTTAATTCCTGGCACAAAAACAAAAACAAAAAACACCAAACAAACAAACAAACAACCACCAAAGAAACAAAAAAAACAAGAAAAAAATCAAACATAAAATAAAACCTTTGAGAATGTAAATACATAATATAATGCATTAATTCCATGTTGTGATAGTCCCTGTAGAGGAGACTCAGTGTGACGTGTGTGCTGTGTGGAGGGAGGTGCTGTGAGGCTGTGGCAGCAGGGTTGTGGGGCCTCCTCGATTAGTAGCTTATCTCTGTAAACTTTATCTCTTTATTTTGGGATTTAGTCTCTTTCACATAACATATCTTTTGTTTCTTTGTTTTTTTTGAGAGAGAGAGGGTTTCTCTCTGTAGTCCTGGCTGTCCTGGACTCACGTTGTAGACCAGACCAGCCTCGAATTCACAGAGGTCTGCCTTGAACTCACAGATATCTGTCTGCCTCTGCCTCCTGAGTGCTGGGATTAAAGGTGTGTGCTACCATTCCTGGCAGTTCTTTACATAACATAGTGTGCATGTGCAAACAAAGTCCTTAATTTATCCTTTAATTGGATATAAACGTCAAAACCCATGACCTGAACATGTCCATCTCTGAGATACTGGTTTTACTCCTGTCTTTGCTAAGCTAGTTGGAAAGTTAAGCTAATGTGTTATGTTTGAATAGTTGAAATAAGGTTTTCTAGATAATAGTACTCACTCTCATTGTTTGTCATGTGTTCTAGGCATTCACACTCTTCACTACCCATTTCCTGGAACTGTGCCATATAGATGCCCTGTATCTTAATGTAGAAAACATGCATTTTGAAGTTCAGCATGTGAAGAATACCTCAAGAAATAAAGATGCAATTTTGTATACTTACAAACTTTCCAGGGGACTCACAGAAGAAAAAAACTACGGTACCGCATATAGAATTTAAATGTAGACATCAAAACAATGCATGTCTTTTAAGGCAAACCTTCTTTCCCCTTTATTTGCCTGTCCCTCATCCTTCTCAGTGTTTATATGCTTTCCAACAGTCTAATTTCTTTGACAAATTCATATTATACAGGTTTATGTTCTTTGATTTTCATTTATATCAACTGAACTGATACATTACAACCAAACTGTAGCATTAGAATAATGCAAGAAAGCCCTGGAAGCATTGGCCTGTTAGAAAGTGTAAGAGGTTTAAAAAAAGGTTTGTTTATTTTTTATGTATATGAGGTTTTTGCCTGCATGCATGCATGTATGTGCACCTGCTATGTACCTAGTGCCCAGGGAGGCCAGAAGAGCATGTTAGATCCTCTGGAACTGGAGTTACAGATGGTTGTGAACCATCATGCCAGTAATGGGAATTGAACCTCAGTGCTCTAGAAAAGTCCCCAGGGCTCTTAACCACTAAGCCATCTCTCCAGTCCCAGTGTAACAGATTATACTTGTAAATTGTATAATTTCACATATTGTATTTCCTACACATTCATTGACATAGTCACTTTGTTCTCAAGATATTTTATATTTACATCTAAAAAAACTTAAAAATGGAATATATCAGTTGGGTGGTGGTAGTACATGCATTTAATCTAAGCACTTGGGAGGCATTGACAAGTAGATCTCTGAATCTGCTAGCCTGGTCTACTGAGCATGTTCCAGGACGTACGTGTGTGTGTGTGTGTGTGTGTGTGTGTGTGTGTGTGTGTGTGTTAGGGCTTTACTGCTGTGAACAGACACCATGAACAAGGATCAAAGCAACTCTTATAAGGACAACATTTAATTGGGCCTGGCTTACAGGTTCAGAGGTTCAGTCCATTATCATCAAGGGGAGAACATGACAGCATCCAGGCAGGTATGGTGCAGGAGGAGCTGAGAGTTCTACGTCTTCATCTGAAGGCTGCTCGCAGAGTACTGACGTCCAGGCAGCTAGAATGAGGGTCTTAAAGCCCTCACCTACAGTGACACACCTACTCCAACAAGACCACACCTACTCCAACAGGGCTACACCTTCTAATAGTGCCACTCCCTGGGCCAAGGATATACAAACCATCACAGTGTGTGTGTGTGTGTGTGTGTGTGTGTGTGTATTCAAACTATCACATTCTTAAACTCTTGTCAACTACTTTCTATGCAAATCATTATGTAGCATGCAGATTCTCATACTCTGGAACTTTTCAACTTTCCATACATTGAAGTCGTCAAAAATGACTTTTATCTTTGGATATAACTCCTATGAGGAAAATAAAACCTGCTTTACTATTTAAAGTAGGAAATGAACTGGACAGTTTTCTTGTATCAGATGTGTAATAAGCCTTATCATTCTCCATTCGACTTGGGTGGGATGGAGATAATCTGTCCTGGATATGGAGTCATCAGCACTCAGTGAGTTATCAAGGGTCAGCCCTAGTTTAGTAAGCATAGCAACCAGTAATGTTGGTGAACATGGTGCTGCTTCTGCTGCTTTTAAACCTATAGAGACTGTAAACTGTTGGATCCATAGGAAGCCTGTGGAAGGGCGTCTGCCAAGCGAGGAGTAGTCATGGAGGAATTTCATGTTCATGGGTCTGCTAGATTGAGGAGCACACAGCCAAGACTACACAGAGACAATGATTTAATGTCCTTTTTCTGTAATTTTAGGATTGAAAGCTGCAGAGGCCTCCTCCCTTCCACCATCGATTGTCTTGGATGCCAGAGAGATTACAACTCAAATTACAAGTCAAATTTTGGTAAAAAAAAAAAACAAAACAAAACCCAAATACCTCCCAAACTTGGTAGAAATAAGACACTTAAAGTCTTTGCACTTCCTTACTATATGACATACTTAATCTCGTGTTACCACAGCTCTCCCTTCTCTTTAGCCTCCCTAATGGTGAGAGTACTCATGCATAAGATCTTTTAAAAATGTTTTAAAAATCATTATGTTTATTTGTGTGTCATACTTAGAGGGCACAATGTGCACGTGTGTGTGTGTGTGTGTGTAAGACAGAGAGAGAGAGAGAGAGAGAGAGAGAGAGAGAGAGAGAGAGAGAGACTGAGACTGCAGGTTAGAGGACAATTAAGAGGAATTGATTCTTTTTATCCTGTGGGTCCCAGGGATTGAACTCAGGTCATCAAGTTTGGTGATCAGCACCTTTACATGTTGAGGCATCTTGTCAGCCATCCTTCAATCTATTCATCTATTTTTAAATAAAAAACAAATCATGATCTGTTGGGGAAAAAAACTCTTGTCTTTTCACATCCAAGAGCCCCTCTCCATCGTGGCTGTATGTGGCCCCTTCCTCACGAGCACATTTCATTAAGAGTCTTGCTAACTCTCTTTCCCTAACCCACCCCGTACACTTTCCACATTGTCTCCCAGTGCATAGTCACCATGCCTCATCAGGAGCTGTCAGACGCTGCTTATCAAGTTCAAGTTGAGCCTGTAAAGTCTTGTATAATTATCTCAGAAAATGCTGTTTTAAGGCTCCCTGAGGTCCTGGGCGCTGTCCTCATTCCCCAGTCTCTGATGGCTCAGGAATCTTCCCTTCTGCTCAGTTTTGCTTTAGGGTCTCCTTTGGTTTGCTTATGCCGCCCTTACCCTGCACCAGTCAGTCTCACATAATTTGCATCTTCGTCACGTGTCATCTCCCCAGTTGTGTTCCAAGTCTCTCCTACCCCTGCTTCAGCTGTTTCTCTACCCAGAACCCTCCAGTTTTGGCACTTCTATGAGTCAAGACTGGTTCTAGATTCTCTGTCATCTATAAGCGTTCCTGGTCTGTGCTGGCAGTGAGCTTGCCTTCTCTGAGCACTGTGCATCCCTCTCACAGACCTTCCCACACTACCCCATCAGTGCTCACAGCAGGCTGCTTGCACTGCGGGACTGTGAGCTGCTTGAGCT